ACTCAGTGGGATAAGCCTGCTGCACAGCAGCCCATAAGCTGTGGAAATGGCCAAACCCCACAGCCAGTCAGCCTGAGGGTCAATCCCACCCACTGACATGCCAACAGCAATCAAGGCTCAACTATAACAGGAGGGGACACAACCCATACGAGGGACACTGTTAGAGCACCCAGCTCAGGTAATCAGGGAGAATGTGCCACTGGGCCCCACAGGACACCTACTACATAAGACAGGGAGACATAGCAGATCTACCTAACACATAGAAATAAACACAGAGAGGCAGCCAAAATGAGGACACAAAGAAATACATCCCAAATAAAAGAACAGGAGAAAACTCCAGAAAAAGAATTAAGTGAAATAGAAGCAAGTAACCTACCAGAGTCAGAGTTCAAAACAATGGTTATAAGGATGCTCAAGGAACTTAGTGAGAACTTCAAAAAAAAGATTGTAAGCATAAAAAAGGACACAGAAACCATAAAAAAGAACCAGTCAGAAATGAAGAATACAATGACTGAAATGAAGAATGCACTAGAAGGAACCACCAGCAGACTAGATGAAGCAAATGACTGAATCAGTGATTTGGAAGACAAGGTAGCAGAAAACACCCAATTGGAACAGCAAAAAGAAAAAAGAAAAAAATGAGGATAATTTAAGAGACCTCTGGGATAACATCAAGTGTAACAACATTTGCATCATAGGGGTATCAGGAGAAGAGAGAGATTGAGAACCTATTTGAAGAAATTATGACTCAAAATTTCCCTAACCTGGCAAAACAAATAGACATACAAGTCCAGCAAGTACAGAGGGTCCCAAACAGGATGAACCCAAACTGTCCCACACCCAGACACATTGTAATTAAAATAGCAAAGAGAGAATCTTAAAAGCAGCAAAAGAAAGGCCACTAGTAACTTATCAGGGAGCTCCCATAAGCCAAGATGTGAAGGCAGCCTGCATGTCTATCGATGGAAGAACAGATAAAGAGGAGGTGGTACATATATACAATGGAATATTGCTCGGCCATGGAAGGGAATGGGTTCTTGTCATCTACAATGGTATGGGTGGACCTGGAGGGTGTTGTGCTGAGTGGAGTGTCAGATAGAGAAAGACAGATGCAATGTGATTTTACATATATGCGGAATCTAAGAACAAAATTAACAAACAAAACAGAAACAAACTCATAAATACAGAAAACATTTTGATGATTGCCAGATGGGATTGGTGTTGAGGGTGTAGGTAAAAGAAGGGAAGGGATTAAGAAATACAAATTGATTGTTACAAAGTAGTTATGCGGATATAGGGTGTAGCATAAGAGATATAGTGAATAATATTGTAATAACTCTGTATGGTGTCAGATGAGTACTAGATTTGCTGGGGTGATAGATGGGAGGGAATTGGGGAACAGGGTGAAAAAGGTGAAGGGATTTAAAAATACAAATTGGTAGTTACAAAATAGTCATGGGGGTGTAAAGTAAAGCATATGGAATATAATCAATGATATGGTATAACTAATGTTAAGTGGGTACTAGGTTAGTCAGAGGGATCACTTCTTAAATGATATAAATGTCTAACCACTATGCTGTACATCTGAAATTAATATAAAATAACATTGAATGTCAAAAAGAGATAAGTATATGAGAATATATAATTTTGTTTAACAGTCAAAAAAACTATACCGGTCATTAGAAAGTATGGTAAGGAAATGATGGTGGAGTTTCTGACATCAGTTTTGCTGCCATTGTCTGAAGGGTGTATGGTAATTAATCGCCAGAAGGTCTGGGGGAGGCAGCACACTGCAGTAGATTCTTTCCCATAACTGCCTCTTGGGCTTAGAACGGTTCATGCACCCCACCTCAGTTTTCTCATCTGTAAAATAGGGGTTCTAATATTCCTGTCTTACTAGTTGCCGGAGGATTAAGTAACATGCATAGTGCCTGATGCATAGTAAATGCGATGAACTGTTTGAACTTTTAGAAGATATATTTCAGAACAGGATCATCTTTAAGCATTTGAGTCCTTGCCCACTAATTAATTTTAAGGACAAATGTAAATGCAATTGAATAGCCATTCATACCTACGCACGAGAGCCAGCGCCCCCATCCCCAGTCCACCTTACGATCTGGAAGTCAATAAAACCCACAGCACTGACAGCATCAGAGCAAATCACAACTGAACTCATCACACTAATTATACAGCTGAGAGGCACACGGGGCCAATCCATGCCCCACCATTGCAGTTATGCCACATGTCAGGGATAGCCCAGTGACCAAGGTCAGCCTCTGCAGTAGGCGGGCATTTGCCCCAGACAGAGGACTTATGAATGGGCTTCCCTCTTACAGTCTATACAGGAAATTTTAGCACCACTATGAAGGATAGTTCTAAGGAGAAGGAATAAGGTTTTCAATTTCAAGTAGAGTTCCCTAAACCTGTCTATTGAGTTCATTGGAGCCCATATTGAAACTCAGATGCCTGACAGCCCTGATCATGTTTATATGAGCAGGGCTGAGAAACATCATCCTGGTTGGGTTTTTTACAAGACAGTTTGGCTTCTGGCACTGTCCATAAGCAACGTATACTAGATTGTCACTTTCATTCAAAAGTTTGTTTTCAAATGTTTGCAATTCCTCCAAAGGCCTTCAGGGGAATCTCTATGAATTAAAATATGGGCACTAATGACACCCTCCTGCCCAAACCCATCACATAGTCCCTGCCCAACTGGTCCAGAAATTCACACAGAGGCCACTTCAGAGACACAGAGGCCCAGCAATTCTCTGGCAGAGAACCTGAGAAAAATACACAGCATGAGGAACGCAGGGTCATTGCTCAGTGCTGTGGCCACCTTGTTCTGATTTATTTGTGTGTAACAGAAGTTCTCAAAGTGTGTTCGCCAGGCCCACCAGCCTCAGCATCACCTGAGAACTTGTTAGGAATGAAAATCTCATGCCCCGTTCCAGACCTACTGAAACAGAAACCTTAGGACCATGGGCTCAGCAATCCGTTTTAACAGGCTCTGCGGATTCTGATCTACTCTAAGATTAAGAAACCAAGTTTGTTTTTCTCACTTACACTGAACCAATAAGTACTGAACTAGTTAGGTCTCTCAAGCTTTTCTTGAGATTTTTCTAGATTCAGTTGGAGGGCAGAAAAAAAGAAAACCCACCTCATTTTCACATGATTGACATTCCTGCAAAGTAGCCTTGACATGAATGAAGACATTGGAATGAGATGACAGAACCTGATCATCAAAAAAGGCAGTTTTTAGTTTAACTACTTTGACTATTTCCATAAGACATAGTCACCTGGTGAAGTCATTTGTTTACACAAACTGTAGTCTAATCACACTGTACCGGCACTTCCAGGTGCATGGCTTGTGTTTCCACATATGTAATGCAATTTGATTTCGTAGCTCGCATTATGAACAGTCACTCAGGACAGTTGTCCAAGGTGTGAAAAGAATGTTCTAAACCTAATGCTTATTTATAACATATCTCCCATTATTCTTTTGCTACATCTGTGTAAATATACTCTTACATATACATGATCTATATTTACATGTGTATATAATAAAAGTATTAGATGTATGTATACATACATTTCCCATAGAGAAATGGAGGTTGTATAGAAGTAGGTTTTAAATGGAGTTCATTACATAAACACACAAATATATAAGTTCAAATCATATTACATAATACAATATACTCAATTCAAGCTTCGATTGGCTTATACAACTCAGAAAAACATAGTTAAATGAACAGGAATTGAAAGTGCATGATGGATGCGTCCCTCATAGCATTTAAATCTCTTCCACTTGATTAAAAATTCCTAGTTCCTCTTCACTGAATTGTTTAGAGTTTTTGAGCAGCCTCTGCCCTGATTAAAACAAATTAGCATCAAAGATCCCCTGTTGAATGAGAAATCATTAATTGAGAAACATGCAATGCTCCTTAATTACCTTTAGAACAGTGAGAGAACAAATAATCTCAGGTTCCAGAGGGGCCTGGCTGCTCAGCGCTGTGGACTCATTTCGTGTAGCTGCTGGAATAAAACTCAAGTTGCAAACACTATTAGGGAATATCAATGTAAGCTTCAGTAAACACACTGTAGATTGTTTATCTAAGAGAAAAATATCTAGGGGATGACTAACAGGGAGAGAGAAAAATGTTTTTGTTTATTATTTTGTTGAGAGCTTTCAGCGTGTCTTACAAATGCCAATATTGATTGAGAGTTAAAGTGAGCTGTTCTTTCTGATACAAATTTTTCATGCTTTGTGTAAAATACGTCATTTATGTAATCACCTGATAAAATTTCAGATGCTCATGTACAGATGAGCAACTTTATCATTGAACAGTGGACCAGAAAGCACCAAGTGTTAAACTTCAGCTATAATACAAATGGAAAGCCAAAACATGATACAGCACGTTAGTCCTTCATTCTATTGTATATATACCGATATAATAGTTAGGACAGCGTCTGCAGGTCAGTGAGATATGATGCACTCCTCCACCTTCAAAACCTAGAAAACATTGAATAATAACCCATGTGAGTATCTTTAGGAAATGAAATTGTTATAGGTGTTATGACAATTTAAAGAATATTATTATCAAAGGCTTATACACAGCACTGTATGGACAGCCTTCTGATAATAATCATGGTATGGATTGCATCTTAGGTTCTGGAAACTCTATTTCTCATAAGTGCCCTGGGATGAAGAAAGCAGGGTTCTCACTTTTCTACACAAGATAAATAAAACACGGGGCGGTTTAGTCATTCAGTGGAGGGTAGAATTTTGGTTTTATTCTCATTTCCCCAGGTCTCCACTTTCACCACTAGATCGTGTGTTCTCAACAGTCATTGAAAAAATTGACAATGGATTCAACTACCTCCATTTCCTTGAATATTTTTGGTTCACTGTATAGTTTACAGACTGGTTCATATAACATAAAGCACAGAACACCCGAACAATGCTCCCATTTCAGATCGATATTAATATGCGTAAGACCCAATTTTGGAAATTTGCATTTAATTTTTAGTGACATGAGTGACTTGTTTTACAAGTGGAATAAAACATTATACCAAGTCATAGGAGATTTCAAACTTTGCAGTTGTTAATCATTATTCTTTGTCTTAAATTCCACCAAGATGATAAACTTGACATTGCCATAATCTTTGCAAATATTGTAAATAACCCCTTAGAGACTACATTATAAGGGTAATTATCAAGACTACACAAATTAATTTGCACCAGAAAAGGGAGAAAGGCTATCATTAACTGTATTAATGCAGTATGGAAAGATATAAGCATGGTTATAATATTTGAAACGCTAGAACATTGTTGTTTTTTTTTCGTCCCCAAGGGGTTCCCATAAAAGGCATGTGCTTTCTTTGGACATTCTTTAGGACAGAATAATTCTCAGTTCACTAATGCACAAAACTTAAGTGGTTCATATATACTCTGCAAACAAGAATTACCAATAAAAAGTCTGCCACATAACCATTTCCTGACTATCTAGAAAAGGAATATCATGTCACTAAAACATTTCACATTGCGTATAAAAGCACCAACAAGACATCCTTATATGTCTTTGCAAACTTCTGGAAGCTCATCATGGACACCACCTTCTGGGAAACACAAGGATGCTAGTGGGTGGTTTCCCTGGCAGAATGGCCATTTCCTTTAACAGCCACACTAATGGAATGTTTGCATTGGAAGGTCAAAAGGGAGCTGTCACTCAGAAATCAGCAAGGCGTGGTCATCGGATACTCAGTTCGTTTCCTCTTCCAACGAGCTCATAAATGTTCGGGAGACCATATTCTTTTATCCTCACAGGGCAATGAGCTTCGAATGAACCCGGAGTTCTGACTCTCTGCAGGGAGTAATCTTGGTAAGTAGAACATCCTGTTGGCCATTATCTGTTTGTGTTGCAAGGTAATTCATTTTGGGCTGAAATCAAATTGTTTTAAGCTGAGCTGGTATTTTTATTGGTGTCCTTCCAGGCGGCCTCCCTTTTAAGTGCCCTCGTATTTCAAACAAGCTGATCTAAAGGAAAAGATTACTGCTGCCAATGTGCATTGTCACAAGGGAATGAAGATGTGCAAGACATAGTTTATGGTATTTATTTATTTATTTTTAAAGTACTGATAGAGGTATGAGACCGCGAGTCCGCTGCTGGGGGACATGAGCTGATTAGTCAGCGCAGGGTCAGGAGAGAGGTGTGATGATGGTAAAGAAAAACCCAACACGATCTGTTAGTATTTGTTGTAATATTACCATTTAGTTGAAGAAGATATTTGAAGTATATTATAGCATTGTAAAAATCCTGAAAGCACAATGCTGAACCACCAGGTAACACATAACATTGGTTTCTACTACAATTTAATTATTCAGGAACTTTGGCACATATATGCACTCTAGTGTTACAAAAAAAAAATTTCAAGGGAAAAAATCATTGCTTGTGATTCCCCAAATTTAACCTTGAACCTTTTCAAACTACAAGAAAACTATTAACTCTGATCTATTTCCCATTTCGACAACAAAAGCCCATCACAACACCTAGGTGAGGTGGATGACCATTTTTTATCCCAGTTTACTCAGAAACGGTTTAGACAGCTGGCCCAAGGCATTAGAAAAGTTGGCACTGGAGTTCACATTAAAACTCAAGTGTGTTCCCACGCAGCACCTATTCTAAGATAACTTATACATCACAAAGCACAAACTTTAAGGTATCTTTTGGGGCTACAAAAGCACAAAGATCTGTTACGGGAATTTACTCATTCATGCAATTTTCCTAGAATTCTAGAGGGGTTTCTAGGGGGTTTCTCTAGAATTCTAGGGGGTTTCTCTAGAATAGGACTTCCTAATTGACCATGCACACAGCTAGGTTGGGGAAGCTTATTCTTAAATAGCACTCTTGCCTGAGTGAAAATTTCACTTGTGCCAAAAATAAAATTTGTCAAACCTTTTGATGGTGAGTAGAATACAGCGTTTCTGCAGTGGTCTTTGAGAGGTTTGGTTTCTTGTTCAATTAGGACTACTCCATAACCAATCCTTGAATTATTTCAAGAGTGGGAACCCTGGGAGGCAGACAGATCAGAATTGGGGAGGCGGGCATGCAGTGTCTAAAAACTCATCCAAAAGTATAATGTAGTCTCATATTTGGAAAGCAAAATAATAATACATGTTAGTTTCATTAGTAGGGCTGGAGAAGGTAAAGCTCAACAAAATCTTGGCTGCGGGGACCTATGCCAGGCGCTACAATGCCAAACCAGGGGACTCAACCCAGTGTGCCAAAGAGCACGCCGAGTTTTCTAGAAAACTCAACTATCTCATGGCTGCACCAGTCCCAGAAAGAGGACTTTTATCGTAAGAACAATGTGTGTAAACAAGACACATAGCGGGGCAGAGATATCAGTGATAAACGGAATCCCGGCCACTCAGGCTTTGAGAGTTGCTTCCATTCATAGAAACATTCAGAGTGTTCAGCACACCATTCAAAGAGCCCTGTAGAAAAAGCCAATGAAAATCGGGTGAAGAAGGAAAAAGAGAAAATGTTTTGAATGTGGAATTCAATAACACAAATTTTATAACCAAGTTTTAGATGGCAGAGAGACTTTTTCAGCTGGTGAGTGCTTTTTCCTTTATGATCTTAGAAGGGTAAAAAAGAAAACAAAACTGCATTTGGCAGTGAGGGTTGGAAGACCCGTTTTCAATTCAGTAATTAAACCTCTGATAAATAGCACACGATAGCATAGAATGCTTGCTTTTTAAATCAGGTTTGCAGGCACACCTAATATACATATATACTGATATGGTTCTAATGCTTAATTTAAAAAAATTTTGAGAAAGCTAAAATGTTACATGTACATTATAATGAAAACACTGCTATAACACCAAGCAGATGGGTTGTATTTCTTAGAAAATTATTTACAGCATTTTGAATTAGAGTGACAACTTCATTACTTAAAGAAATTCTTCTCTTGATAAAAGCAGCTCTTCGACCCAGGGCAGTGTGTCCCTAATTTGCCTAATTGTTAAGAATCACTGAGGTGCTTATTAAGCATATTAATCTCCAGGGTCCCATCCAGTCCTTCTGAATCCTAACCTGTAGAAGGAAAGGTAGGAATCTGTGCTAACCCGGGCAGTTCACATGATCAAGTTAAGTTCCACCCTCACCCTAATAAAATGGCAAATGGGCTTTGGAAGTTTATTTTTCTTAGAAAGTGTATGTAGGTAGATTTGGTTCATTGGATCAGTTTTAATTTTTAAACACCTTTTATATAAAACAGTTTTCAAATTATAGTTTTATGTTCAATGAAAAAAAAGAGGTACCATGTATGATAGCCAAGTATAAGGACTGCTCTCTTCTTGCCTAATTCGAATGTGAAAGTGGCGATTGATGTTCCTGTCTAAATGCCATCAAGCAGTCATTTAAAAAATATTCTATTAAAACGGTATACATTTTGAAAGAGTTAAATGCTCTATTGACTCAAATATCAAAATAGTTTTTCCTTTTTTTTTTTATAGAAATCTCTGTACCCTAGAAATACAGGAACTTCTTGAAGATTTTCATAAAATCTTTGTTTGCAAAAAGCTACCTTTGTTCACTTATGGTGAAAAGATGGGTGAAAAATTAAGAGCTGGCTTCATAAAGCACTTGGTAGAAAAAGAATGGCCTGGTGGCCCCACAATTAATACCAGCTGCACTGCATGATGGGCCTGCTGTGGGAGCTTCGTGTTTCTTCTCTTCCGGGCTCACAACACTTCTGCAAAGTGGGCTACCTCCCCTCACAGGTGGAGAGTCTGTGGCTTCAGAGGTTAAAACTTGCCCAGCAGCACACAGCCCAGAGCTGGTCCCAACGTTCCAACGTCTGTGCTCAGGCCTGTCCACCCGTCCAGTCTGCACTTAAATGACCTGCAGCAGCCCACCAGCCATGTGGTCACTCTGCCTTACTGGAGCTCAAAGAAAATGAGATATTGGCAAGTACAGAAAGTATCCATTACACATGGAAATATGTCCTCTTTGAGGGTTTCCTAGTGAACGTAACATAACTGGCATACATTTTCCTTCTATGTCAATCACTAAAATAAATTTTCATTGAAAAGCAATTGTGAAAATCCCAATCCTCTTAATATTTATTAAATCAATCAGTAAGCTTGTGCAGCCTTTCAACAAGAATTCTCTAGGTGTGTCCAAATAGTGCCCCCAGGTTAATTTTAAAAACTTCATTTTATTTAACCAAAACTTTTCATACTTGGAAGAATAATAAATCCTAAAATCTAAAGAATTTTTCAAAGTCATTCTAAACTGATGTGGACAGAATTCCACTAAGATAAGTTTTCAAGAGAATCAGTCATTTACTTGCTAACTTCTTAGAGAGTATCTGCATACTTGGGGTCTGGTTAAAAAAACAAAAAGGAAGCATTTACATTGAAAGTTGTTGCTAAGTGTGGAAAAAAAGAACATGACACATTCAAAGTGATTATCCCTAAGGTCTTTTCAATCCACTTCACCTGAGGGTGAAGGATTTTATTGCCAGTAAAAAGCTTTGATAAGTTGAGAAGATATTGCATAATTAGTCACGAAGTTAGCGATATTTGGCCCAGGAAGGTATAGTATGACTTTAACTTAACATTGCATTATGTCCCATAATACTCTAAAATTCAAATTTTCAAGTTTGAAGAACCTGATGGGATTCCAGGTGGATGAGGCTTGACAATTCTTTCACAGTAATACTGTTTGGGCAGACTCTAAAAATACAGCTGAAATGGATTTGACATACAACGCTGTATGTTTTTGTTATATAAGCTTTCTCTCATGACAATCATAAACAAAGTGGGCAATCATTTTATTTTTAAATGGTTATATTTTTGTAATCAACAGTTTTGTCAATTTATATCTCCAGGAAAAACAAATGAACATTTAAAGGGGTCCAAAAAGCAGCTAAAAAAAATTGTTCGGTTGTATTTAGGAGACATTTACAAACTTTGCTCACTTTTTGAGAGATAAAATATCATGGGGTGGGGTAGTAAAAACAACAAGCTCCACTTCCCCCACCTCCCCCAAAAGCCCCACAGGCTATAGATAAAATTACTCTAAGAAGTAAGTCTTATTTTTAATGCGTGGAAAATAGCAAATTTATCATGCCAACATAAGGAATATATACTATACTTCATAAATGCCTTAAGTGTTAAAACAATGACATAGTCATGGTTAGACGCAACCTAGCAATCTTATATACAGTGCAACTACATATTGTATGATCATTCCGGATATATATTACATTTGATCCTCATCAAAGTAAGCTATGTATAAATGGCATCATGAAATAAACATTTCATATCACAATAGGGTCGTGTCCCACGACTGCACGATAACATGCCAGTAACTACGCATTAGCTGTAAACAGTGAAGGGTCATTTACCTTCCAGAAATCCAAACAATGTGAAAAGTACATAGGCAGTACGAAACATCCATTGTATTTAAGTGACTTTCATGTTGAACAAAACTATATCGTATAAAGCAGCTTTGGATGCCTCTGTCAGTGTTCTCTACATAGGCCCCGTGGTCACCATGAAGTTAAGGAATTACAGTTCCCAACAAGATCTATTAATTATGGACTGTGGTCACAATTAGGACACAAAGGATCCTACATTCCTAGCTGTGTTATATCATTTTCCCTTTCTGCCATAATTCAGTTTTGAGTCATTAAGAATAGGCTGAATGTGGGCAAGCACAAACTTTTTTTTTTTTTTTTAAACTGGAGACTTTCTCTGATGACACTGATGCGTTCATGTTGGAAATAAGATTTCTCTAGATGCTTGCTAGCAAATGCTTTTCTCCACTTGTATTCTCAGTGAAAGAGAGGACAGGTGGGGGCCTGGGTCGTGTTGTAACGTGGGAGGTGTCGCCGCTAAAAAATGCTTTTCATAACGTTTGTAAAAGGTGGATAGAATCTAGCTGCTAGGAGAAGGCCAAAAGAAGATGATCCGTTCTTATCAAAATGCAGATGCCTCATTTAGGTCTGATCCAATGACTCCTAGGCAATTTAAAAATGACCATATTAGAGCAGAGGCTCGTACACTGTAAAATAACCATTTCAGCCCTCTTCAGGTTTGTGGTACTGGAGGCTCTGTTTGGAAGGGGGGTAAAAGTTGATTGCTGGACAGGCTTCTCCATGCTCCATCAGCTCTGATAATACGTTAGGCAGTTGGCGTGGACGATCGGAAGGTCCTCTTCACTCAGAGTGCTAATAAACTGCCTGGGAATTTGAACACACCATCCATCCAAATGGACTCATTTGGGCCTGCATTCCAGTTCGGTGGAAAATAGTCACATTCTCAAAGTGAGTTTGGACACGACGTGGTCATGTGAAAATATTTAAATACATTGCCTACATCCTACTAAATCAGAATCTTTTTCATTTACATGGACAGTGGGCTAAAACAGCATTTAAAGCCATTGCGATGAGTTCATTTCCTGTTCATATACAAGTAACTTCAGTTTGCTTATGAGGCAAAAACTGTATAATTCTCATCCTTCAGGCATTATAAAATGTCTTTCTTTAAAGTCTTGGGATATAAACAGTTTGGTTTATACCAATTACGTTAATTTTCATCTGCATTAAGAAACAATACACACATCTTTTCCAGAGTAACTTAACGTTATTGACGTAAAAACTGACGTTACCACCTGTGACCTTCAATACTGTTACTTTTATAAAACTCAGAAACATTCTTTGGCCACGTGGGTCATTGCCCATTTGGAGGGAACTGTACTTAGGTCCTGGGACCATACATTTTTGCCTCCATAAAAACTGAGGCCGTGAACCAGCCTTAACGGAAGCCATTTGCAAACGGAAGTCCAGAATACCCAGCAGTAGTCCCTGCTGCTCAGACACAAGTTCCTTGACGTGTTGAGAGGTGATGTTTTCGATTTCGGACTCCTGAAGTCTTGTCTTTACTATCTGAAGGCTTCTGTTGTGAAATATCTATTAGGGCGCTGGCAATCGCAAGGCCTGGAAGAAAAAGAAAAAGGCCTTTCAACATTTGGTTAGATACTTCTGGGGTGGCGAGAGTGGTGGCTCATCACCTTCTTTTTATTGTTTTACATTCAGTCAGCAAACATTTAGCTGCTTATTGGAAATTATCAAGTAGTTTACCCTTGACTTATAGTGTTTCTTAACTCAGACATATGAACTTCACATGTGAGGAAGAAGAACAAGGATCTAACGAAGTTAACTGACTCTGACTTCAGACAATCGAATTTAGTGTGTGATAAAATATCACATCAGTTGTAGATATGACCCTACACTGAGTTTCTATGTCTGAACACAAGTTTGCTCTGGATGAGCGAAGAATTTCCAGTGTTACTATCATTTTTGTGTATGTGTTTGCAGAACAAAAGTTATTGCATTGTTTTTTTTAATTTAGGGCCATTTTAGGTTTACAGAAAAATTGTACCAGTATTGATATGATTATTAACTAAAGTCCATAGTTTACATTAGGGTTTGCACTTTACGTTGTATAGTTCTATGGGTCTTGACAAATGCAGAATGCCATATATTCCAACAGAATAGTTTCACTGCCCTAAAAATCCCCTGGGCTTCACCAATATTTCCCTCCCCTTCCCCTGAGCCTCTGGTACTCACTAATTTTTTTTGTTTTAATGTCTCCATAGTTTGCCTTTTTCAGGATGTCATATATTAATAGCTGAAATAGTAAACTATGACCTTTTAAGATTCTATTTCACTTAGCAATATGCCTTTAGGTTCCATCATATTTTTTTTTTTTTTTGCTCAATGGCTCCTTTATTGTTATCTCTAAATAATTGTGTGGGTGGAACACGGTTTGTTTAACCATTGAAGGGCAATTATGAATAAAGCTCCATAAATATCCACATATAAGTTTTTGTGTGAACATGTTTTCAATTCACAAATTACCTAGGGGCACGATCCTTGGGTCACGTGGTAAACCTAAGTTTTAGCTTTGAAAGAAATGGCCAAACTGTCTTCTGAAGTGGCTGTGCCACCTTGCATTCCCACCAGCAATGAATGGGGGTTCCTGTTGCTCCACATCCTTGTCAGCATTTGGTGTTTTGGGTTTTAGCCATTCTAATAGGTATGTGGCTGTCTCATGGTTGCTTTAATTTGCAATTCCCTAGTAATATATGATGTTGAGAATCTTTTCATATGCTTTTATTGTCATATGTATATATTCTTTGGCGAAGTATCTGTTCAGGTATTTTGCCCACTTTTCATTGAGCTGTTTGTTTTCTTATTGTTGAGTTTTAAGAGAGTTCTTTTATATTTTGGATACCAGTCTTTAATCATCAGATATGTGTTCACTAAATATTTTCTCCCTGTTTGTGGCTTGTCTTTTCATTCTCTCAAACTGTTTTTAAGAAAAAGAAAGCACCCCAGGGATAGAGTTGTACTATGCGCACAAGTAGACATGGAAGAAAGATAATTTGTAGAAATTCAGCTGGTAAATGTCTTAGATATAAGAAAAGGACCTTGAGTATTACTAGCAAAATGTCAACACAAAAGTGGATCTGTAGTTATCGTGGGTAATAAAAAGAATATTGTTTCGTTACATAGTTTTGTCTATTGATTGACAAGAACATTTGGTAAGATGTTCAGGGATAGTAAAGACTTCCCTAAATTTGTACAAGCAATGGCTCAACCAGGCACCTTGGTTTATCATGTCTACACATGACTCATTTTAGTTTCTGTTGAGTCCCATATAATTCTTGAGTAAAACACAATGTACCAAATCACCATACTAAGCCAGGGGGCCAGACTGCCTTCTCCAAGGCCTTGGGGCCTGGACTCTGAATTGAGCTGAACCAATCTCTGGGCCCGTGCAGACATCTTCTCAACGGGTTGTTCTTAGAAGACCTCACTTTTGGGTCTTAGCCTAGGTAAGGTATCATTTAACTCTTTTATTCCTGTGGGTCAATTTATTCTAAGCTGGTTTGTAAGGGAAACATCAAGGATAGAGGTGAAATATATGTGGATGCATATGATTATCTGAGTACATGTATTTTATTTAAAGGAAAAAGGAGCCATTTGAAAACAGAAGATAAGATGTTTGTGGAGAAGGGGAAATTGACGGTGTTAGTGAGGGGAGGGATTACAAAATTATAGTTATCACTGGCTAAGCTGACAGTCTTACATATTTACCTTTTAAGGTTTACTGTTAAATAATCTACACTTTCAGGATATTAAATAGTATCCTGCATTTCTTAGAGATAATGCAGTTCAAAGTTCAAAGGTTTGGTCAACGTTTAAATAAAAATTGCTTCTTTGCCCTTTGAAATGCACATATGAACTGAAGTGTCCAACATAGATGTTTTAACCACTTATCCTGCTGTAGGAAATAATGATTTTGTTCTTTCATTAAGGGAGGGAGCTGAAGCACATTATTTAAAAGGAAATCACAGGCCACAGTCACCAGCTACAAGTTCAGTTCAGACAGACCTTAAGTTTCCTCAGATCTCCTGGCATACCTCTGTCATAATTTACAACCTCCTGTTATTTCATTCCTGGCACCCTTTTATCCAGCGACAGCCAAATATGACAAATAATGTATGTCTCTTTTAATGTGGACAGAGACCACTTCCACTAATTTCAATGATCACAGCATCCAAATATGAAATCATGTTATTCATTAAACTACTGTATGACCTCGTCCAACGGTGCTCTGAAAAACAATGCTTTTCCATTTGCATGTGGCTGCAAAGGCTGTTTTCCTTACCGAAGCTGCGGTGCCAGGAGAGAAGTAAACAGTCGGAGTTGCCAAAATAAGAAATTTTATGCTAATCCGAAACTGTCACTGGATCTTTGCATTTCAGGGTATGTGAAGTCCAAAGCCTAATTAAAGTAGCGTCTTTCACAACATATCCCGGGTTTACTAATGATTTGTAAGCTTGGAAACACAATCAGCTGAAAATAATAAATCATAAACCATATTTCAGCTCTTTATTTACAAATAAATTTGCAAATCATGCTTATTTTTCATTTGACAGCTTTTGATTCTTTCTTATGAAAATGGAACAATCAACTGCATTCTCCAATTCTGCATAAATGGCACTAGTATGAAGGAAACCTTGCATTCCTCCAGGCAGTGACATTTGAGTGTCTGCCATGTGTACTCACAGAGGATGCCCAGAGGGCCACCTGCCCAGGTCTTGTCTTCTTGAGGGGCCAATAGGTTTCCATTAAGATTTAAGCTTGTGTCCGTTACTTGTGACCACACAGCTTAGGGCATACCATGAGTTATTCTGCTTTATCAATTGTGTAAGTTAATTATGAACAGAACAATAATCATAATAACTGCATGTGTGTGTATGTGTGTGTGTGTATGTGTGCGCACGCGCATCTTAAGTGTCAAACTGTTGGGTGTTAAGCTTTTGTTACTATGCTTGCATTTATTCTTACTTTAATATATGGAGAACTTTAAACAACAACCACCAAGAAATTGCTAGGTCCTCGTTCAACCTACAAGAGGCCCTGGACACAAGAGTAAACAGAGAGACAAGGTCCCCGTCTTCCTAAATTGTCTAGTATGTAGCAAACTCATTAAAAAGGAGAGAAAGAAAAATTAAAGTAATTTTTATCATTTCCCATTAGCATACTTTTTTTTTTGGTAGAGAATCTAATTTTCTTAATTGATAAAAAGAAAAGTCAAGTCAGTAGCTCTTTAAAAGAGACAATAGGACTCCCCCTGCAAATGTAACATTTATATGTGGTAAGAGACTGAATATACAAATTGACCATGGCCAGACCATATATGAAAACAGAACTCTGGCCCACAAGCTCCAGCAACCTGCCGTGGAAACCAACCCCTTCTCTTCAATCACCAGCAGGGGAAGCCAGCTTGCTTTGTCAAGTTTGTAGGAAGTCAGGCTGCTATCTCTAATAACAATCAAGGAAGTCAAATAATTAGCCCTGTAACAGTGGGCCTCAAATACCCAGGACTTGTTAGTAACTGACAGCTTTCATAACTTCTGCCCCAGCTTCCAGCTTCCAACTTAGGACCAATCAGAGAAAGCCAAATATGCCCCCCTAACCAACCACACAGGACGCCTCGCTTCTAGTCAGCCCGCCTCCAGCTTCCCTGGCCACCAGCCTCCAGTCAGGGTATACTATTATAGAAGTCTTCTCTTTTTATCTACTCTAAAGCGGTCCTACACATTGGCCTATCTCTAAGTCTCTGCCAACAACCAAGCTATGGAGGCTGACTGCCTTGCTACAGCAAGTTCTGAATAAATAGCCTCTGCTTATTATTATAATAAACAGTATTCAGTTGGTCTCAGTTTGTTTTCACCCTGGCAAAGAAGAGATAAACATAACTTGAGATCTTTCCTAGATTAAAAAGAAAATAGGCATTAGTAAAAGAAAACCAACTTAGAAATAAGTTCTCTGCATTGCCCTTTGAGGCAAACGCTTTCTCTTGATTTCTATTTCCCTGGAAACTTTCCCTCGAAAGGTTACCCGGTGATGACCCCACATGCCCTGTATCACAGGGGAAAGCCCTTCCAACCAGTAGGATTCTGTGTGGTGGCCCGTGCTGGGTGCCGTTCGAGTTCCATTAAAACCAGGTCACTCCAGGAGACCATTTTTCAAAACGTCACACAAATCATCTGATGAAATCCACTTATTGTGTTCTCTAGGCCTAGCATAGTTCCTTGTTATCAAAGCAATACAATTAACTGGGGGAACAATTCATTACTTTAGGCTGGTGGTCTAAAGGAATTTCATTTACCATGTCGAGATGATGCACAGATGCCGCGGGGCTAGCAGAATTTACATCAAAATATGCCGGGCGATTCAATACAAATGCTGGGGTTTAAATATTTATCGTAAGCTCTACCTTTTGGCACTTGTAGTTCTTAAATACCAGATGCTATGGCATTGGGATCATTTAAATATGAATTATAAACCTCCTAAAAAGGGAAGTGCCATCTTCTTTTCCGATTCCATGTCGCATGGTCCCTTGGTGTTTCTCACCGGTG